ACCCACTTTTGGACCCAATCGGAATTCCGGTTGGACCACCGGGGGTCCAACCGGCCCGGTTGGATCCGGGCCGGTCCAACCGGCCATGCAGCAAACTCAATTAGATGAGATTGCCGTAGGATTGCGAACAATTTCAAACATTGTGAAAGGAAAGAACCAGTTAGAGGGTGAGGAAAAACAAGAAGAAAAAGAAGACAAGAAAGAAGTGAGAAAGTTGATGGGAGATGCTATGAAGTCTGCTGGTCCGACAATTCAGACAACGTCCAATGGGAATGGACCACCGAGTCCACCATCCTCTCCATCTCACTCGTCTCATTCGATTCCTTCTCCCAAGTCTCCTCCTTCAACAACTCCGGGTAAGATAAGCGCGGAACCGGAGAAACCAAAGAAGAAAGAGAAAGTGAAAATGAAATTGCCTTTTACGTTTAGTAACAAGAAAGACGAGAGCCTGTTGCTTGGAATTGCTGAAATCCAAACGTATGTGAGCACCGCTCCGGTCGAACCGGAGTCCCAAGTTGTGTTCACTACTTCTTGCATTGGTGGTGAGGCCAAACAATGGGTGTTGGCCGATGCCGATCCCGCGGGGTTCAAAGACATCGGCGAATGGGCAAAGACCCTGACACTGAAACAGTTCTTGGCAAAGATCAAGGACCGTTTCCTCGATAAGACGACGGCCGATAAGGCGTTTGATCAGTTAACATCAATTGGTTAAAAGCATTGGACGTCGGTCGAGGCTTTGTCCCGAGAAGTCGATTGATTGTTGCAGGTTCCAGGATTGAACCTGCAGGACAGCCAAGCGCTGTACATTTACTCCCGCGTATTGCTTGAGCCCATCCAGGGACACTTGGTCGCCGAAGCAAAGTCAGGTAAGTACAACTATAAGCAATTTCGCGATCTTGCTCTGCAAAGGGAGCAAATGACTTCTCAAGTCAAAGACTCCTATGCAGTCGTAGTTAAGTCTGAAGGAGGAGGAGGAGGAAAGCCGTACAATGGGAAACGAATCCTCTGGCGACAAAAGCGCCCGGACCACACCCTTGTCGTCTTTGACGACGACACGGCGGAAAAGAGGCCATTAGAAGATAAGGATAACAACAGTGACTCCGGGAAGGGGGAAGTCACTGCAGTTGTGGCCAATAAGGTAGGGCCACCCAGAACTGGAACAGGGAAGAAACCGAGACCATTTCCATGGCACCTGGCATTGCCGATGGGAAGCCATGGTTGAAGATGGGAATGACTCGCGAGACTTGGCAGGAGCGCATGGACAATGCGCAATGTCTTAAGTGCGGCACACCGGGACATGTGATCGCATATTGCCCCATGATCCGTAACCCAAAAGCRAGCAGCYAGTAGGAKTAGCATCTGCTCCTACWGASAYTAAGGGTAAGGACGAACAGACAGGTAAGGCGCCTACGAACCCTTCCTACCCTTCTTCTCATATGGCAGAGGATGATTCTTCCTTAGCCCATCATCCAGATCGCCCTGACATTGTCTTATGTTCTGTCTCTCTGGATGACTCCCTTGATGAGCTAGGTAATGAATTGCTAGCCTTACGTAGCTCATGGGATCGAAAAGCGAAGCCTAAGGGCGAATTATTGTTTGCAGATGTTGAAATTGCACGAACACGAGTTGGTGCGTTGTTGGACCCTGGATCGACGAGGTCCTACATCTCTGAGAAGGCAATCCGCAAGTTGCATCTCGGAATGAAGGTGAAAGACTTGTCTCGACCGATCACGTTTATGTTAGCTGACAAGAGTACGATCACTGTCTCTCAGTACGTTGATCGTATTAAGTGTCAGTTCAGAACGAGGGAATGAAAGAAGATTGTGCATGGAGAAAAATTTTCCTTTTGATCTCATTCTGGTATGGACTGGCACGAGGAAGCCAACTCGGATATCGATTTCAAAGGCAAGGTTGTCCAACTTAAGGATGCACAATCTGAGATGAAACCAATTAAGTTATATCATAAGTTTGGCTCTGATTCTAGTTTGTCTTTTTGTTGTATGAGTTATCCAGCTTTTCGTTCGATGGTTCTCAAGAAAAAGTTGGAACAGGAAGTCATGTTGGTATTAGTAAAGAAAGTCGGTGAGTCTTCTTCTTCTTGCCCTCCAACTATTGAAAGTCTTCTTTCAGAATACAAGGATTTGCAACTTGAAACCTACTGGAATTACTGAACGTGCTATTAAGCACACCATTGAGATCATTCCAGGTAGTAAAATTCCCAAGGGCCCTATTTATAAAATGTCTTTCAGGGAACTTGAGGAATTGAAGAAACAACTACAGGACCTTACCGACAAGGGATGGATCCGCCCCAGTTCATCTCCCTATGGTGCATCTGTCTTGTTTGTGCCCCAAAAGGAGGGTGAATTACGTTTATGTATTGATTATCGAGGGTTGAATGTCGTCACCGTCAAGAACGCCGAACCGCTTCCTCGCATCGACGACTTACTTGACCAACTGCAGGGTTGTACGTATTTTAGTAAGATTGATCTGAAGTCTGGGTACCATCAGATCGAGGTGGAACCCGCAGATCAACACAAGACTGCTTTCCAGACCACGTATGGCCATTACGAGTTCATGGTAATGCCCTTCGGATTGACAAATGCCCCTGCAACGTTCCAACGGTCAGTGAATGAATTGTTTTGTCAATGGTTGGATCCGTTCGTTATTGTCTATCTCGACGATATTCTCGTGTATAGTAAAACCTTAGAAGAACACGAGAAGCATCTTCGTTTGGTGTTAGATACGTTGCGAGAGGGCAATTTTAAAATAAACCCAAAGAAGTCTGAGTTCGCTAAGTCTGAAGTTTTRTACTTAGGACATATAGTGAACCAAGATGGCCTCAGGCCAGAGGAAAAGAAAATATCAGCAATTAGATATTGGCCACAACCTAAGTCTGTGACCGAGTTACGATCTTTTCTTGGCTTGACAAGCTACTATAGGAATTTTGTCAGAAACTTCTCATTGATCGCTGCACCAATGAGAAGATTGTTAAAGAAAGGAACTATCTGGTTGTGGGATAAGGATTGTGAGTCTTCGTTCAAGAAGGTAAAGTATGCACTAACTCACTATCCTGTTCTGAAAATTGTTGATCCATCTCTTTCCTTTATCGTCACTACCGATGCAAGTCAGTATGGGATTGGTGCAGTCCTTCAACAGAACAACGACAATGGTTATAGACCAATTGAGTTTATGGCTGCACGATTGCCATCAGAAAAGATTGCCAATTCCACTTACGAAAGGGAATTGTATGCTTTAGTCTGCACATTAAACACCTGGAAACACTATCTGTTAGGGAGACACTTCACTGTGTACTCAGACCACGCTACTCTGAAGTGGATAAAGACACAGCCTAGGCTCTCTGATAAGTTAGTACGATGGTCTGCATTCATTGATACTTTTGAATTTGAGTTAAAAACTATCAAAGGTAAGTCTAACGTGGTTGCAAATGCATTGTCCAGAAGATGTGATTTCTTTGGTGCTATTGTCTCTTACCTAGACGTTGGGAGTGATCTGAAAGATAGAATTCGTCAAGGATATGTCACTGACCCTATATGAAAACCTATTATGGATGTCCTTGCAAAAGACCCAACTCTACTTCCCAACTATAAGGTAACCGATGGTTTGCTTTTCTTGTTAGACCAAACTGGACAGAGATTGTGTATTCCTCACCAGGAAGAAATTAAAAGTCTGCTTATTGGGGAATGTCATGACGCTGAAGGTCATTTTGGTTTCAAGAAAACTTACGCTGAGGTTAGACAATGCTTTGAGTGGAAGGGGTTCAAAGAAGATGTACTAACTTATGTTCGTACATGTTTGGTGTGTCAGAGAAACAAACCCTCACATGAGAATCCACTTGGTCTCCTGAAACCATTACCGATTCAAGCGAACCAGGTGAGTCTATTTCGATTGACTTTACGAGCCTCACCAAAAGCCGGAATGGCAATAGTCAAGTAATGGTTATTGTGGATCGTTTCTCTAAGTATGCCATGTTTATTCCCCTACCCGCAGAAGCACGAACTGAACTTGTGATCCAGACGTTTCAGATGCGATGGGTGACTGAGTATGGTTTCCCTCTTTCCATTGTATCTGATCGTGATGCCAGACTCACGAGTATGCCATGGCAAAAGCTGATGGAAGCATACGGTACACGTTTGACCATGTCGTCAGGACGACAAATGGACAAAGTTAACAGATGAACCGTTTGTGCCAGCAGCTTCTGCGCATGTATGTGAGACCCGATCAAATTGATTGGGATGCGAACTTACCCAAGATAGCAAGTGCATACAATAGTAGTGTTCGTACCGCTACAGGGCGAACACCTAATGCATTGCATAAGGGGTGGAAACCTAAGCGTCCCATTGATGTGCTGACAAGGGACCAATTCCTTAGGTTACCTCGAGGGACCCGGGAATATGCAGTATTGTTTCAAGAAGACATTAAGAAAGTGAAGATGATTGAACAAGCTAATAAGCATCGCCGACCATCGACATTCAAGGAAGGTGATCTTGTCTGGGTCAAGTCTAAAGAGTTTTCGTTGGAAGAAAACGTGTCTCAGAAACTTATGCCCGTATATTTTGGACCCTGGGACGTTCTTAAAGTAATTGGGGATGCAAAAGGACCGTCTTACAGAATTGATATTCCCCATCACCTCAAAACATATCCTGTCTTTCATGCATCCAAATTGCTACCTTATGTAGAAGGAAATGAGTTCCCACATAGACCATCTATGATTCCGCCAGACATGGACGGCGGATATGAAGTGGACAGAATCATAGAGTATGGGTACTTTTCTACAGGCGCACGTGGACGACCTCAGAAGCAGTTCAAGGTACGTTTCAAGACTCAAGCACCATCTGAGGACAGATGGTTTAGTAAACGAGAACTACTTGAAACTGCTCCTGATATTGTTGTTGTTTATGAACGAGGGTTAAAGTCTTAAATATTTTTGCGGTGGAACTCGAAAATGGGCCGGCAGGAATGCAGTAACCTTGTTCAGAAGTAGCCTGGGGCTGTGTGACCAAGACACGCCCAGGCCTGAGTCTGTCGAGTGTGGCTGTGTGCCCGAACGCTACACACAGGAAATTCAAGAGTCAAAGTCAACTGTAGAGTCAAAGGTACCGCACCCAGGCCCTTGGTTGGATACACTCACTTGTTGTGCGCAGGTACCCAGACAGCATCCAGGGCGGAGGGAATTCGGTTTCAGTCCCCTCATTTGCATTGAGATCTGGACGGCTGAGGGATACAGCATCCTGGGCCCAGACCCCGCGTCAACACTACATAAGAGCTGACTTCCTGGCTTTGACGGTCATTCAGTATTGCGTCAATGCTGATTTCACGCGTTGACTTTGACGCTGGTGCGACGCTGCGACACTGGCTGGACGCTGGCTCTATGCTGGCATATGAGGATAGACGGCGACGCGCTGCTGGCTGACATAGTGGCTGGCTGGCAATTGTCTTCTTGGCATGCTGATGTGGCAGCTGCCACGCGCCGCCTGAACTCTGACGTGGCGGGGCTACGTGATTGATAGTGCTGTTCTGATTCATCGTCACTTCGGAAGGAGATCATGACTGTGGGGTTATCGTAGAGACGTACCTGGTATCTTGATGTCGACATTCTCCAGTTCGCTGATGATGACAGGCTGATGTGCCACGTGGCACATTGAGAGAGAACTTCAGATTTGTGTTCGGGTTATTGATTATTGAGGTGGTGAGAGAGGAGGGAGCCCGAAGCAGGAGTGGGCATTGTTGATTTCTCCCCTCTCAGTCTATTCTCCCCTCTCTCTCCTTCGTCTGTGTATGATTCCCCATCTCATTCTGTCTGGACACAATTATGATTATTTGACATTCATCAGCAGGTTGATATCTATATGGGCTGGCAATGTTGACACGTGTCTTCACGATCTGGGTTCATTGCATGAATAGAATTGGGAGGTCTATTCAGGGGCTTTTGGCAGTTGGTACCGTGCACATCGCGGGATGCAACGCGTGAACTGGAGTGGTACAACTTCAGCCAGACCCTCGAAGTGCCGGCCATAGCTGGGACCTTCGCTGTTCTCTGACAGCACACGGGGCTGTCCAGAGGTCTGGGCTATTTTTGGTCTGCTGGGAGCAGGAGCAATTGGTGCCCTGCTGAACCCTCCTCAGGAGTAGGGTTTCAGGGCAGTGGCACTGCAGTCATAGCTGCAGCTTGTATCCTCAGAGGTCATCTTGTCAGGAGAGGTGGTGCTGCTGAAGATCTTCATCAGAGAGGCCTTCTGGCAATTCGTC